CTCTGCTCATCAAGTTTTTAAAAATTCATTAAATTTAGAATTTTCTCTTAATTATACTATATTATAAAGCATTTGGTAAAATTTTTAAAAACATTTATATATATATAAAGTAGTGTTTATTGATGTACATTACTTAAAATTCAAGATTACAAGTAAAATGTGCATGATTACATCTTATTAAAGCTCCATATTTGAATTCGTGTAACTAAGGTGGCGTTTGTTTTTTAAGAGGTGGTAAAGTCTGGAGTCTGATTTCACTTCTGATTTTTAAGAGGTGGTGCTGAAGTCTGAAATCTCAATCAGTCAGACTGTTTGTTTCTGTAAACTGACAAACGTATGAAGTCTGAAATCTGAATCAATAGTTTGCTTTTGTAACCAACAAAACATATGAATATGTACAATTTCTGATTTCACTTCTGTTTATGTTCCCAAGATTCCTTTAATTCTTCATTCTCTTCCAGATCAAGTCTTTCATCCTCAATCTCCATCCTCATCCCACCACCATCAACCATCGTCCACCACCACTCCTTCTCTAAAATCCAACGCCCAAATCCACCTCTAAAAGCGAAGCAATCTCCATCATGATGAAAACTACAGTGACAAAAACTACAGGGGTTGAAAATATCTTGATTCACGAGGATAAAGGTGCACAACTACTGGTTTGCACAGGATCGAAAACACACAGTGGTGAAAACCCACAGGGAAGAAAACCCTCTTGATTTGAATCTGATTTGGGTCGATTTGAAGCCACCAGAGGCGATAAAGGGTGAAGTCGATCGATTGAGACTGTGAGGAGGGTGAAGTCGATCGATTAAGAGGGTGAAGTCGATCAAATGATGAAGTAGAAATCGGTTCTCTGAATAGTCTTCAGGATTAAGAGGAAAATAAGTGGCTAGGTTATCACTTAATTTTTAAGAGGAAAATAAGTGATAAGTGGCTCTGGAAAAAAAACAGTCTAAATTACCTTATGTCTAACCGAATCAGACATAAGTGGTAAAATAAGAGCTTCTTTTAAAAACAAACACCACCTAAGTGCAGATAAACATAATTAAATACATGATAAACATCATTTTAAATATAAAAAAATATAAAATACAATTAAGATAATCGTTGAATTCTAAAAGAATACTTAATTATTATCCTTAAAAAATTATTTTATTAAATCAAAAATAAATAAGTTTGTTTTTAAACTTTAATTAAATTATAACTAGTTATGTATCCACGCAATGCGGCGGGATGTGAAATTTTTGAAAAGATGTACATATCGATTATGGATAAATATTTGTATTTGAAATTGCAGACCCTATACTTTATTGATTATTTTATATTCAATGGATTTGAGATGAACTGAAACAATGCAATAATCTATTTGATGTTGAATTTTGACAACTGATTGATTTTAATTTGGTCATGCATGAGATATCGTATTAGGAAACTATCTATCGATCTCAAAAGAAAGCACAACGTGACTTATCTTAAGCGTGAACAAGATTGCATAAGTCCAGCAACCTCCGCTTGTTATATAAACCAAAAAATCATTGAAATTAATTAAACCAAAAAGACAACATAATATTTCTATTAGGCATCTCGTTTTACATGAAAATCACCAAATATGACAACGAAGAGTCTACGTTTGTATCCTCGGCCTCCGTTGCTCATGTTCTCAAAAATCAGATCAATTTCTAAGTAATATCTAGCCTCAATCCGTCTAGGTTCCATCTATCACCACAAACTCTGTTTGTCCCATAAATAAGTCTACAATGAAAAAGACAATTTTAGATATATATATATATATATATATATATATATATATATATAGGGGCCTAAATGAGAACTAATTAGTTTGTGGTAACTGTGAGAACCAATATTAACCACAAATTAATAGATAAATTAAGAAATTTATAATTTTGGCAATTTTGAATTAAAATATTAATGCAAGGATATTTTTGGTATTTTAAAACTTTCCTCCCTCCTCTCTTCTCTCTCCGGCCACCGTCCTCCGGCCACTGTCCTCCGGCCACCGTCCTCCGGTGATACTACAATGGTATCACAATGCATCATATATGTGCTTGGGTATCACATTGATGTCGTTTGTGTGGTCGATCGAAGATGTACCACAGTGGTATCACTATGCATCTTATATATGATTAGGTATCACAATGTATCTTTTGTTTAACAGAGACAATATTTTTAGGTATCACAGTGGTATCACCGGAAGACGGTGGCCGGAGGCCGGAGAATGGTGGCCGGAGAGAGAAGAGAGGAGAGAGGAGAGTTTAAAAATACCAAAAATATCCTTGCATTAAGATTTTAATTTAAAATTACCAAATTTATAAATTTCCTAATTTATTTATTGATTTGTGGTTAATATTGGTTCTCACAGTTACCACAAACAACTCAGTTCTCCCTTGAATAGGCCCCTATATATATATAGATACTCGTGCAATGCAGCAACATACATATTCATTTTAATGTTTCGTTTTATTTTTTGTCTTTGTTGATATAACACAGTTTACCGAGTAAATTATTGCATTCTATGTGTTTTGATATAACTAAAACCTTACGCAACGAAATAAACTATAGTGGGTAAGCGCTTACCGAGTAAACATTTGGGTAAACAACCCCTAAGATGTTGATGCCATGAACCTAACTGAATTTAACAGGGGGTAGGGCAATTTTTATTACAAGTATATTATATGAAACGGTCCTTTGCCATGAGGAAACAAGTATCCAAACACTGCTAAGGCCACTCAAGTATAAAGTTTAAATAGTAAAAATCTGCGGTGGAAATAACCGACACTTGAACAGATGTAATGGACACGACCTAAAAGATACAAAAATCTAAAAATAGACCAAGAAAAAGTAGCACATAAAAATAGAAATTACATAACACAGACAACACTCCGGAGCAACCAAGAAAAAAATCAAGGAACATACACAAAGAACCAAGCACTCGTTTATCAAAAATAATCATTATGCAGAAATGCATTATAAATTCCAACAACAGGCTTTTGATAGTAGAGTTATTAGCTAGCTGAAACACATCATATCTAAAAATTGTCACAATACCGTTTATACAGTTTGAAATGATTTTTGCCATGAGTATATTTTACTGTCACAAAGATTGTTTAAGTGAAGCAAAACAAAGCAAAGCAAAAGAGCCTATACCAAAGGAGTCAATGTAGCTAGTTCATTCTCCTGACAATGTTCACGATTTCCAGCATTCCGCCTTCAACGTAGTGGTTTCTCTTCTTCAACCAAAAATCTTGGCAAATTCTACATGGAAAAACCCATGATTCCAGTCAATTGAGAAACAAAAAATAAAACCCAGATAGAACCAAGAGAATCCAAAACCAAAAGGTTACAAATCACTCAATTGAAAATCTCAAATATTTTGTGGTTGCATCAATTCTGGACTTAATTAATGAAAATAAAATCTGGACTCTAATCATGGTTTATTCATATAAAAAAAAAGATGAAAACCCTATAAGATGTGGTTGCATTTGAGCCTTCGCTTCTAAAATATCATCATTACAAAGTTGAAACGGCTAGGGAAATCAAAAGTGGAGAAATTTGGAGTCGAGAACAACAAAACAGAATACAAAGAACAAAGGGAGCAAATAACCCATGCCTCGATGGAAGCTTGAACCAGAAAACAAAGAACAAATTTGAACGAGAACAACAAAATAGCTTCCTGCGTTTCTTTTATCTTCCTCCTCCTAAATATAGATACACAAACAACATGTTAACATACTGGCATTTGGATCGAGGCTTGGTTAAATGGATAATCGTTTGAATAACATTTGGCCTTCCACTAAGTTCCTTTTTGATCTTCTTTGTTGCAGGAAGAAGGCGGTCCTCCTTGATAAGAGTGATAAAAACACCCTAAGGGTATGCTAGGCGAAGAAAATACAGGTCTTAAAAGGAAACCATATACGGATGATGATTAGCCCCTAACTTCCCAAAAAAAGTTTTTCCCGCCAATATCAAATTCTAAGTATGAATAACAAAATATAAACCAGGTTAATTGTGTTTCCAAATATATTAAACACAATGCATCTGTCAGATGAACATGAATTACCATTGGAATAGTTACAAAGAATGCTTGAATTTTCATTAGCCATGAGTGATTGATATGAAACATGAAGAGCATGTGCACTGCATCAACAAGATTAGATTTAACACCATGAATGAAAACACAAAAAAACTAATGGAAACCATTTATTCTTAAAAGAGATTCAAGAACTTAATTACCTCACCGGTGGGAGGACTGCCATCAACAGATCAAATGATCAAATAGTTTAAACCCCTTTAAGATCAGAAGCAAGGGGTGATGGTTTGAATTAAATTCAATCTCAGGAACATAATATGATGACATAAAAGATGTGTATTGCAAAATTGTTAGTACGATTTCTAAGATTTACAATAGAAAAAAAATGGTATGATTGTAAGTACAAAGATAAAATTGTTTACAAAAAGAAAATGAATATTAGAACTTGCAGAAAGATTAAACTGGAAAAGATAAATCCATTGTTCAACTTATCCTGTTGTAATAGTACCAAACCCATTGAATGCTTCAAATCACAACAATTTACAGAAAATAAATAAAAATATTAGAAACATGAATGCCAACGATTGAGAAAATGGTAAGATTGGTGTTCGTTTTACACCAAACCATTGTATTGCTTCAAGCCCTAAAACCCAAAATAAAGGAAAAAAGTTAAAATTTCTTAACCCAAATTGTATTGCTTCAAATCCTAAAACCCCAAACAAAGGACAAAAAATAAAATTTCTTAGCGGAAGAAAGCCATAACATATTAACATCCAAAAAATAACAATTTTAGATTATAAACGTAGTTAGGAAATAGGAAATTATGAACTACCGTTTTAGTTGAAATAAATAATATACATATATAAATGTATAAATATAATATGTATATATATATATATATATATATATATATACCGGGTACAGGGAGGGGAGTACCATACCGTCCCCGTCCCCATCCCCGGTTTGAGACAAACGGGGATCTCCGTCCCCATCCCTATCCTCGATTTTAGCGGGGAACCCCTGTCCCCGACGGGTCAGGGCTCATTCCCATGCCTAGAGGGAGGAAGAAAAGGGAAGGATGACGAATCATCTTAGGAAGGGTACCAAGAGATGATGAATCATCGTGTTGGGAAGAATGAAAGGGGGAGGTCGATGAGTAAAGGGCTGTTTGGCAGTTGCTGAATGATTTAGTGCAGAATAGTTAAGAGGTCADAATGGTTAAGAGGGTCAGAATGGTTAAGTGCTGAATGAARTAATGTTGTTTGGTAACTGTTCTCTGAATGACARTAAATTACCATTTTAACCCTCTGAATGATTTAGTACTGAATGAAATAGAGCTGTTTGGCAGATATCTGAATAAAATAATTATTTTACAAATATAACTACATTTTACCATTTTACCATGTTAGGATGTATCATCATGATTTCACAACCAAGTTATGCATATACAGCAAGAAAGCTTAGAAGAGGGATTCCATCACACTTAATAGAAAAAAAAAACGGATTTCATTAACCATGAATCAAATCAAGAAGTAATAACCAAAAATTTACAACTCCTTAGAGAATCATACCAGTAGCAAAGATTTAAGAGAAGCAGAGCAAGAGCGAGACTGAGAGATCCAGAGCGATTGAATAGGAGAACTTTAAAAACTCATGGTGAATCATCAATTTGAATCGTCATTTGAGGAATGCGGAGAAGATGTAGAGGTTTGAGAGAAATGAATCATGATGAGTGATGGATAGAGAAAGGAATCAGCAGCTTCGGAAGTACCTTATGCATTAAGAAGTTGTATTCTATACTGATAGTATTGTAATTAAGACTTTGTGCATTAAGAGGTAATACCTTATGCATTTAAGGTTGTTTTTAAAACTTTTCTCAGATCTGATTTATAAGATAGTACAGATAAAAAATGAATTAAAAAATTACACAAAAACGAAAACTTTTAAATAGTTAATTTGATATTAATATCGCTTATTTTTTTCAAAATTTTATAATATCTTTAAATTTATATTTTATTCAAAAATAAAAACATTTTTATTTTTTTAAAACCACGTAAAATCACATCATAACATCAATATAAAACTAAAATAATATAAAAAATAAATAATATAAAAAAATTTATTAAAAAATAAAATTATTTTGTAGCCGCGTGGAGATGCGATGTAAGAAAATCGTTCGTCTTTCGATCATATGAAAAAGGGCAATACGAAGAAATTTCTTCTTCAATATCTTCGCCTCGAAGGTTTAAATCCAAACGACGACTTTCACTTTGATAACTCCGCCATTAAAACCAACCTTCGACGGTCACTTCCATCCTCAATTCTTCTCTCTGCCACCTCAATATTTGCAACAATCTCCCACCGGATTAAGTCAACAATGGTTTCCTCGTCACCGGCGATACTTCCAATTTCAAACCCACAAACCAATTCCGCCGGAGAATCCCAGTCACCAGTCCCCACCACCGCCTTCGGTACCTTTACCAACCACATCACCGAAACCCTCAACTCCGGCCTCTCCCAACGCCGCCCTTGGTCGCAACTCGCAGACCGTTCCGGATTTTCTAAACCCGAATCTGTAACCGACGCCACAACCCGGATCCAGAAGAACTACGCCTACTTTCGCGTCAACTACCTCATCGTCGTGGCCGCCGTTGTCGGTTTCTCCCTCCTCACAAACCCTTTTTCTCTGATAACACTTCTTGGTCTTTTAGCAGCGTGGCTCTTCCTCTACCTGTTCCGACCATCCGAGCCGCCGTTGGTGATTCTCGGCCGTACAATCTCCGAGCGGGAAACCCTCGGCGTGTTGATTGTTTGCAGTATTGTTGTGATTTTCTTAACCAGCGTTGGATCTATTTTGATCTCGGCGTTGCTTGCCGGAATTGCGATTGTTTGTGTTCATGGTGCGTTCAGGACGCCGGACGATCTGTTTGTTGATGAACAAGAGTCCACCGGATTCTCCCCATTCCTCAGTGAAAGTCGACATACATGATCCAACTTTTGTATCATCAACTTTGTGGATTTTGGGAAAATAATAATTTGGAAAAAAAAAAATCTTTGGATAATTGTTGTTGAACATATGAATAAATTAGATGATTGGAAATTTATTTATTTATTCTGGAAATTATTTGATTATTCAAATTGGTTAGTAAGATATTTGGTTGAAATTAGGGGGTGTATAAGATTGTTTATTTAAATTGCTTACTAATGAAGTAAAAAGAATGAATATTTATACTGGTTTGGTACTGGTAATAAAGAGTTTTTTTAACTTATTCTGGTGTGATACTGGTAATAAGAAACTTTTAGTGTTTGGATGAGAATAATAGAATTTCCAGCTTATTACAATTTGGTACCGCCATAAACTAATACAAGACTTTTTATAGAACTTCGACTTGAAATGACATAAGTTGATAAACACCTTCACAAAAACAAAAAAAAAAGTTGTTTTAAATAAGCAATCTCAAACACCCTCTAATTATGACTTACTTTTGATTAAAAAATAACATGTAGCTCGGTTGACAGAGCGGAACGACTGCCTTGGTGCTCGATCCAAACACCCTTCTAGCCTGAGTCGTTGAGTGAGATAAAAAAAATGTTTCTCATATTGTTGTCATTGAAGGCGGGTTTCGTGCAGGATAACTCTTTAGAAGCCACAACTACAGTGATACGTTCTGTTGAATTTTCAAAATAGGGACTAGGATCATTACAAAAACTTGATTCGTTTTCATCATGCTTTGCCCACCAAAACGGGTTCCAAACATAGGGTATTGGCCCTCATTTTTTTTATTACACATGAAATTATGATGATTGATTAATCAAATTTTATTTGGTTCAAAGTCTATTCAATCGTTCTATATTTAATTGGGAAAACTCGAACCTGCTTGAAGAATGATATACGACCATAGATATATCATGTTAACCAATTTAAAAAGTCTTTTTGATAACACACATAAAAGAAATCTATAGATGACGAGGGTGCAAAGAGAAATTGATACCTTGATAGATGAGGGTGTAGGGAGCTGTTGACGCTGATTACCTAAGAAAGACTTAGGGAGCGAGGGTCGTCGGAGAGAGACTAGGGTGCAACATGTCTTCTTGAAGATGTTTGAAGGAGTTCATTTTTGTAACAAGAGAATATATGTCATATTTTATGGTTGAACTGATTCCTACGTCGTTGTCGGAATAAATCAGATTGCGTTATTTTTTCTATTTTAATATAAATATTTAAAATTTTATTTTAATTTCTTTTTAAAATATCTATTTTCAGATTCTACTCAACTGGTGATAAGTTGAGTCTTTGGGATCTTTCTCGTAGGGTCATAAATTTGCGGATTTTTCTGACTATTCTTTAGGATCTAGAATTAATTAGAGGTAATCATTTGCGGACCTTGGTTGGGCCGGGGTCAGGCCTAACTTGTTTTTTTGGCCAACAGGCCTAATATTGTAAATCTAAGCTCTTTTTTTTTGGGCTTGACAACTTTCCATTGTCCGCCCTATAAACGGGTCGGGCTTGCCCACGGGCTAACGGGTCTAAAAAGTGTAACTCTTATAAATATATAAACTTGATCAGTAGCAATTCATTGACAAACATGAAACCAAAAGATAAAAGGAAAAACATTGTTGAAGTTAAAATTTTAAGCAACTAAAGTTACCATCGATGGTGTAACTATATACCAAAACAAGGAGTTTTTGCAAAAAAAAAAAAAAAAAAGGAGAATTCGATGAGAATATGAGATACTAGCGATAAGTAGTGATAGGGAAATCAGAGAGTTTGAAACGTCCAACTTGTAATCAATAGATTGGAATGAGTGAGAAGCAACAATGAATCATCAATCATACTATCATAGGGCAATCGACGTTGCGAGGAGATGAATAGGGGAGTTTGAATTTTGGAACGAGCAAGGAGCAACAATGAAATGAATGAATCATAAGGTAATCAGAGGTAAACAAACAATTATTAGGAACTGTCTGGTAGTTGCTGAATGGTTTGGTGCAAAATGATTAAGAAGCTCTCATAATATAGTATAAAATGAAATATAATTGTTTATAATGAAATTAAGGCGCTGAATGGTTAAGGGAGGCCGATGATACAAAATCACTCAGAGGGTTTTTAGAACCATTAAGAGACATGCTTTTTTTTGTCAAACAAAATTCACCTCTTAACGATTCAAAAACCGCCTCTTAATAGAACTATTAAGAGGTAAACAAACAACCCAAAAATAACCAAAGAGTCCAATCTCCCATCCTATAACTTTAATAATTTAATTTAAAATATACTAATATAATTTTAATTAATGATAAAAAGATATTAATTGTAAAATATAAACGGGTCAAACAGGCCTGTCCATTTTGATTTTTTACATTATCTTTGTCTGTCCATTAATTTTAGCAAATAAACCGGACCCGTCCATTTTCTCGATAATGGTTGTTTAAACCCGTATTTTTAACGGGTCAATTGGATCGGGTCTAACATTTCGTCCTATCTATACTATCTTATAAAGCATTTGGCTAAAACTCTTAAAAACTCTTAAACTCGTTCATCCCTAAACGATTTCATCCCATATCTGAATTCGTGTAACTAACTGCAGATAAACACAATCAAATACAAGATAAACATCTCATTTTAAATATAAAAAATCTAAAATATAATTAGTATAATCATTAAATTATAACTGAATACTTAATTATTATCTTTATAATATTAAACCAAAAATAAATTGTTTTATTATTAAACTTAAATTAAATTATATAAAAAAAATATATTCTATATTATAAATCATTTAACAAAAACTCTTAAAAACCACATTTTATGCGTAAAATACTGTTTATTAATGCATATTACGTAAAACTCAAGATTACAAGTAAATTGTGCGTA